ATTTTCAGTACAAATCGGCAATTTCATACTTTAACCCCTATTATTTGCACATCTGCTTGCAGGTTGAATACAATGTACCTAATTTTACTTAAGACCTTTGTAATTACTGTATTCTGGCAAATAAACGTATTCTATTCTATTCTATTCTATAAAGACCAGGCCAGGTACCCTGTGGCGCCTTATCGTGACCTCTTATTACAGTTCAGTATAGATTCGTAACGACAAAAAAGCGGGACGGTGATATACACTTCTTGTAGCACTATCTAACAACGATTCATTTTAGGTCCTAAACTGAATCGCAATAATATGGACTCCCATGGCCCCAGATTATTTAAAAATAAAGTCAAACAATGTTGAAATATCATTATTAAACTAATATAACAAAGAACAAAATGTTGTGGATTACTTCTTTAGGTACTTATATTCATTCCATGCTAGATTCAATACCTACTAAGTACATTTGTCTAATCTTGCAAAACCTAATAAATAATTCTGAGTGCCTACAATCCAAACAAAAAAGTGCGTCGTCCATTTCGTAAATACCTAAAAAAATCATTAATCTTACAGTATTAGGGCGCGTACTCATTATGTCGTAACGTTTTATTTATCGTTGGACCACTGTCGCGTCTAGCCTATTCCCATATCACGACTATCTGTCATGGACGGTTATTTTATCGTTGAATGACTGTCGTGTCTAGCTGTTCCCACTAGATCGTGACGACAATTTATCGTTTCACGGCACCCGCCTTGTCGTTTTACACGACAGTCTGTTGATGCACTGCAGTTGCTTCCATGTTCTTTTGGAAGCCAGTGGTGAGAGTTCGCTAAAGTGTGAAATGAATGAAGATTAAATTATAGTAATGTATTACTTTTTTAAAAGGCGGAAGAGGAAGCAAACGAAGAAAATAAAGTTTTGGGTACATCCAATGTTATTAAAAAGAATTCCATTAGGATTATGTCTAACGTTTATAGATGAACTGAAAAGTGATGAGAGAAAATTTTGGGACTATTTAAGAATTAATAAAAAAAAATTAATATTTTGTAATAATGTGTATAATTAAATTTGAACAAGTCTTAATTCACAACAAATATTTAGTTGTAAATAGTTTTAACCCTCGATTTCGGGCATTAATGGGGCCCATATTGAAACCGTTAACAAATGCCCATCCCTGGCTACAACCGTCGACCCAACGCTAGTGCAAAGCGAGTCGACGACGGCATGGGGTACGAGAGGAGAGAGTAGGGAACAGAACACGTGCAGACAACGATAAATAAAACGTTACAACAATAGTAGCTGCGACTATCTATCGTCACGTTTTTATCGTGAAGTTTTATGTCGGACGAAGGTCATTCCAACTCTTCCCATTGTCACGACAGTCTGTCGTCGTAACGACAAAAAAGTCGTGAACGACAGTTAATCGTGTCGTATGTGAACAACTACTTTAAATATATAAGCCACGTCACTGTAAACTGCACGACTATCTGTCGTGACGACATAATGGGAACGCGCCCTTGCCGCGACGTTATCTATAATTGCTATTGTTCTTGCTATGTTAAGATGCTCAGGGCTCTGACGCATAAAGGAAAGAAAGCAGCAGGGCTAACAAGACAGGGCATCACTTGCGCGACAACAACATAGAAGCGCGAGATATTGTTATTCTCTATGCGAGAAAAGCAGTACATTGCGCTTAATGTCGCTCCCGCACAATTCGCTCCCTGTCATGCCAGGCATAAAGGAAAGCCCTGAGTCTCTAGTTCTTATTGCGAAAGGATGAAAGAAACAAAAGAATAAATATAAAATAGAAAGAATTTGATTTCTAACCATTTTTTTCTGTTTTTTTTTTCATTTTGCTATTTCTACCCAACTTGGTCCCTCTATACATTTTTATTCTTAATGGTTTTTGAACAATAGAGAACAAAAACTGTAATAGGTTTTTTTCTTTTAAGTACATGAAAATGTTGTCATGTTATGCACTGTCGTTTTATTATTCTGAACCCAGCTCTCGGGTTGTCTGGCAGAGAATACCTAATGGCATTAAGTCCGCCATTTGTACTGTTTCGTGTGCAAAATAAATAAATAAATGAACTGCATCTTTTAACCCTATTTCACCTGTGTAAAAACAAAAGATAATGTTAGCCACTGACACCACAGAAGCAATATAGAACACTGACACATACAATTAAATTAAATACATTAATCTAATATCTTTTTTTTTCATAACATTAATAATTAATTTGGTTTTTTTCAATACAGTATAGATTTGCAACCCGAAATGACAAAATATACATAGCACTGGCAATAATATTTTCCATAACGGCTGGTTGCTCTACCCCCGTTAACACCATTCTCTTCGCAAACTTTCTCGAAGCCATGGTCTTGTACGCGACGGGCGTATTCAATGTTGACGAATTCCTAAAAGCTGCTCAAGACTTTGCTGTATATAACTGTGTCGTTGGTATCCTTGTCGTTGCATTATCTTATGGAGCCACAGTATTAATGAACATCGCAGCATTTAATCAAGTTTACGTAATACGACAACAATATTTGAAGGCTGCTTTGAATCAGGATTTTGAATACTTTGATACACATAAGACTGGAGATATCGCTGCGAAGATGACTGAGTAAGTTTTAATTTCATTCGTTAAAAGTTATTTATTGTTCTTAAAGAGCATAAACAAAAATAGAATTACTCGGTTTACAATATGAGCTTAATTGATTATTTATTAGAAAACAAGAGATTCGATATTCATAAGTAGGTACGTCGCACTGCTAATGAAAGGCATGTTCAACAGTGACGTCTTGAAATTAGAGGACGGAATAGGTGAGAAGCTGGCGTCTTTTATATTCTATCAGGCAGCGTTCTTCAGCTCCGTCATTATGGCTTTAGTGAAGGGATGGAAGCTGGCACTACTATGCTTAACCACTTTCCCAGTGACATTGTTCCTTGTCGGCCTTGCTGGTTGGGTAAGACTCAAAAAATTTTGCTCACATCGCATTGTCACTGCGGTGTACTAATTTATTCGTCTCAATTGTTCAAACAACAGGTGGCTGCGAAACTGGCCAAAAAAGAAGCTGTTGCATCAGGAAAAGCTGGATCTGTAGCAGAGGAAGTCATAAGTTCAGTTCGCACTGTCTACGCCTTCAACGGACAGAAAAAAGAGTTGGAGAGGTATCAAGTACATGTGCACGAAGCTAGAAAAATCAATATTAAAAAAGGTAACGTAATTCCAAAATAAACAACACGATTTAAATTTAAGTTTCTGAAACAAAATAATATTTTAATAATAAAACAATGACAAATCGAGTTTTAGCGATTGTTACACTTTGGAAATGAAATAATGTTTTCGGAAAAACCAACGTTCCGACCCTTTATAGTTGTACCATGAGTTTATAGGTAGTCACATTCGTCGCTAGCGACCACGTAAAAAATGTATATGTAAAATGTTACTTCTCTCATACTCATTGTAGAGGTACTTATCTCATGGCCACGGCAGACGGTAAACTCATCAATCGGTTAGATATGTATAATATTAATATAATTTTGCAAACTACCGTATTTTTCACTATAGTAACAAAAGTTATTAATTTTTAAATGCTTTATTTATTACATAGGGCGTACGATAAGTTTCCGGAACTGGCCACTTACATAAACAATATTTAAAAAGTAATTATAACATTTGAAAATGGAACTCTTTGGCTGTAGAATACAGTTTGTTTCATCTGACTGTTACTTGTTTTTACAAACGGAGCTTCAGCGGAGCTTCGCTCGACTTCAATCTGCTTTTAGCGATGAGGCATCATGCAAGACGACTATTTATAGCTGGTTTGCAGAATTCAAACGCGGTCGTGTGAATCCCAGTGACGAATTTCGTGATGGTCGCCCGTCCACTGCTGTGAACAACAAAAACATCGATGCTGTGCGCCCTACGATCAAAACAGACAGGCATGTGACATACCACGAGATTCAGGGCATCTTTAGGCATAGGAATGAGTCAAATACAATCAATACTACACAAACATTTGGGTGTGAAAAAGCTGTGCTCTCGGTGGATCCCACACAATTTGACTGAGGCTCAAAAACGGATCGCGTCACTTGGTGCAATGCCATGATTACCAGATTCAACGAAGGGGAATCAAATTTGGTGTGGGACATAGTAACAGGTGATGAAACATGGATTTATACGATCCCAAAACAAAGCAGCAATAGAGCGTATGGGTCTTTCGAGATGAGCCGAAATCAACCAAAATAGCGCGCGTGCAAAGTGCCTCTAAGCGAATGATTGCTTCTTTTTTTTATAAAACACGTGGCTACTATTACTTTGAAGAATCGTTGTACAGTGAATAGTGATTGGTATACAACCATTTGTTTGCCGGAAGTTGTTGACAAACTCCGTAAAAATAACCGTAAACGCTGTATCATCTTGCACCACGATAATGCCAGTTCTCATACGGCCAGACAGACAAATGAATTTTTGAAGGTGAACAACGTTGACCTTATGAGCCATCCCGCGTACAGTCCCGACCTGGCACCTTGTGACTTTTATTTATTTCCAATAATTAAAAACCAGTTACGCGGCCAACGATTTTCATCACCTGAAAAGGCTGTCGAAGAGTATGAAAAATATGTTTCAGAGATTGTCACCGCTCCGTAAATGTTTTCAAAATCGGTTCATTCGTATGAAAAACTGTATTAACGCTAACGGAGAGTATTTTGAGAAACAATAAATTCATTTCTGACCATTTATAGTATATTTTTCTTATTCATTCCGGAAACTTATAGTACGCCACACGTATTGACCAAAAATCTTTCTAATTTACGCTAAATACATGCGTTTTGCAATCTCCAATATTTCCTCTGATGAAATAATCCTGAACAGACATGAGACTTTTCAAATTGTAATCATCTTTATTTCATAGGTACGTAAATTACACTTGAAATCGTCATTTTAATTAAACTCTACTGTTCATTCGTAAGGCAGAGTCCTCTAGATGAATGAGCAGGAAACATTTGAATACATTTAACATTTACAATATTTATTTCATACATCTTAGTCAATCTTAGTCACTACCACGGACTCTTGTCATCCAAGTATGCAGAAGCTGTATTAACCTTTAGTATAAAGTTTTTGTTTCACTATAGTTTCAAACGTCTTAAATGGCAAATTTTGAATCTTATCTAATGAACTCTAGAATCTTATTAAAGAAGCTTATGCATTGCCCCTTAAACGAATTTGTAACTTTTTATAGACGTATGTCAAGAATAGCTAGTTTATTTTTTTTCCTCGTGCTAATGTTATAATCTGTCATTACTTTTAATAAAAAAAATTGTATTCTTTTTAACATAAATAACATTTTCGTAAATTTCGTACTGTAAAAGTGTGTGTAAGAGTGCCAATCTTTTTAAACTTATCTCTTAAAGACACTCTGGGGCCCAGACTGTAAATTGCCCTAATCGCACGTTTCTGCAGGACAATGATTCTCTTAATATCGGCGGTATTACCCCAGTGAAAGTAGCTGAAGTAAACCAATCTAGCTGTTTCGACGTCTGAAAGTATTATTATTTTAGTAGTAGTGTTATTTTAATCACGTACACAAAGCTAAGCCGTTTTGTAACTTACTTATACATAATATAAGTAAGTTATCAAAACCACATGGACCCCATTGTATTTTAGCATCTAAAGTTATACCTAGAAATACAGCTGTATCTACAAGGTTAAATTTTTCTTTTCTAACTAAAATGTTTGTGTCCGTCTGCCTAACATTGGATAATGTAAATTTCACACAATTTGTTTTTTTTCTCATTAAGGAGCAGGTTAGTAACTGCAAACCAATCTACTACTTTAGATATAGCATGGTTTACACTGTCGTAGGAACATTGGTGCCTTTTATTTTAAATAATAGGGAAGTATCATCAGCAAACGATCTCATGTTCTTTACTTTTCACGATTCTAGGTAAGTCATTAATATAAACTAAAAACAAAATGGACCTAGAATTGAACCTTGAGGGACAACCATGCTAATTGTTTAGTTCTAATTGCCCATGCTGAAAAGAATGCCGTACAGTACTACTTAACAGTAATTTTTATTTATTGCTTACTACCTTTTACCTAATAAATATAATTTAGTGAAAATTCTTATTGTTAATACAAAATATTTTGCAAAACGCATGTAAAGTAAATTGAAATGTTCTTTGGTAAATTAAAAATAAGCTATTTAAATTAATAACTTTTGTAACTGCCTCTGTGGCCAAATGGTTACCATGCCGAACTGCCACGCAGAGGTCCCAGGTTCGATTCCCGAGTCGGGAGAAATATTTGTATGTACATTTATTTCTCTCGTGAGTTTGGGTATAATTTGTGGTTGTCTATGTTGTAGTGTTTCCCTAGTGCGGGGCTATGTGCAGTGCGTGTGTTATTATTAAAAAAACTATAGTGAAAGATAAGGTGGTTTGCATTAAATTCTTTAACAACGCAACCAGTTGTGACCATTGGGACTGTAAAGGGCCCGAAACGTTTGTTTGAACAAATAATAATATACGCGATTCAGATACGAAAAATATATTCATTTCCTACTAAAAATTTTATTAAATAATAAGTTTATTTCAGGTCTTTTTAACGGTTTGGCAATGGGTATACTATTTTTTTGTATCTTCTGCGCTTACGCCTTGTCATTATGGTTTGGTTACAAGTTGATCAACGACGTAACGGAAAACTATGATATCTCAACTATGATTGCCGTAAGTTCATAACTTAACATAATGAATAAAATTATCAAAGAATAAAACAATATATTTAACCTTTTTTTATTACTACTTACTAAATTTTACAACGTATTTTTAAAATCACATTTTGCATGGTTTATGTTGAAGGTATTCTTTGGTGTACTAATGGGTTCAGCTAACTTTGGTATATCTTCTACGTTGATGGAAGTTTTTGGTGTGGCGAAAGGTGCTGGGGCGCAGATTTTCTACCTTTTGGACAACATACCAAAAATCAATCCAGTGCTGAACAAGGGCGAAGTTCCGGACTCTATTGAAGGAAACATCGAACTGAAGAATGTGTTTTTCCATTATCCGTCTAGATCTGACGTTCCGGTGAGTCTTTGAGTTCATTTCTCCTCTTGGCACCTACAGCTATCATCTTATCAACGTGCGATATTTTACGGTGCGAATACGTCGCTACGCGGAAAGTAATTTCAACTATAACTAAAAGCGATGACGTTGTACTGTGTAATTTATTGGTCATTGATTTAATGGCTAACAAACACGTGATATTTGAAAAAAACGTTAATCACGCATCGCTCGATAAGAAATCAATATTCGTAATTTCGGACTTAACAAAAGTTATGCTAAGAATACTCCAGTTTGGACAAAGTATTTGTTTCACATACAACATTGAATTTGATCTTAAATGGTGGAACTCCTCCTAGTTCACAGGAAGTAAAGTTGGGGTCAACACTTTCACGGATACCATTGCATTTTGAAGTCTTTATTAATGAATATTTCAGGTACTGAAAGGAGTGAATCTAAGCGTCAAACGCGGCCAATCAGTAGCGTTAGTAGGACATTCTGGTTGCGGCAAATCAACCATCATACAACTTATTTCTCGTTACTACGATGCTGTAGATGGTAGTGTGAGTACTTATAAAATTACTTTAGGGTACTTACGATAGTTCGCCAACGTGTTAAAAAACGTCAAGCGAGAAATGTAAAAAATAATGACTACTGACAGGTGTTGAAGAAAGAACGACTTCAAATCTTCTTTGGTTTCAATTTGGTTATAGGTATACTTGATATTTCGATTCAATGTTCTGGTATATATGTGGCCAATGATTCATATGAAAGTTGTTATCAAACATTTTTTTAGCTTTTCTCTAAATAGCTCTCTTAATTGGGGTACCTGAATCACACAATGTGTGACCGCGATGAATGTTTTGTGGGCTTGGTGATAGTGATTAAGTTTCATCATAATAATAACATGAGACATACTCAAAGCACGCGCATAATTATAATACTACCTAAGCAGATAACGAAAATACGTGATTCTTTATCTATCTGTATATTCAACCAACCGTTCATACAGACAGGTATGATATTATAACTATCAGACGATATTATTATTATAATTGAAATTTTAATCTCAATGACGACTTTCAGGTATTGAAATAAGTAGGTATAATGTTTTATGAAAAATATTTAATTTTTTACGCATGAAAATAGCTCCAATCCAAATGTTGAATAATTATGAACTGTAGTATCATTTCAATTAACATTGTAGAAATGAACATTATGTGCTTACACAACTTTTGCGCTAATTGCCTCATTTAATACATACACCAAAAAATAATGTTTTCTCATAACAATGTTAATTTAGCATGCTATAAACACTACATAATATGTATATACGTAAACAGTAATACATAAAGCGATCATAAATCGTGTTAAAATTATATTTTCATTTCATTTCTCTATTTGCATTTATGTTGCCATTATTGAGGATCGCTTTACGACTATATTAGACATAGTGGGGTCGACAAGGTCTGGGCATGTCTTGGTGATAAATAGAAAGGCAAAAGGTATATTTAGATAAATAAGTTGTAGCGTAACAGTGGGGGAGTGCACAAGCGCAGTTTGATATTCCTATGGATACAATCAGTGAGATTCAGTAGACACGACCTTGAAACTAATATCGAAGGTCATGTTTCACCGGTTTCCTGATAAAGTACGTCTACAGTATCAAACGGGTTCGAAAACTCGTTCGTTTCCATACAAATAACTCAACTTTACACCAATTTCTCAAGTTCTCTATATACATTTTGAGACCTTGGAAGAATAATGACTTCTTGTATTAAGCAAATAGTTATATCTGCACATTCACTATATTATTTAAATGAAATCAAACTATGAACATACCCATTAAACGGCCTTGTGAGACTGTCCCCTAAATGCTGTGGTATTCAGTTTATTATGAACACATTATAATATCTACAGATATCGATCGATGGTCGTGATGTTAAAGACCTATCAGTACGGTGGCTCCGGTCACAAATTGGTCTAGTGGGACAAGAACCAGTATTGTTCAACACTACAGTGCGTGAGAACATTCGCTATGGACGAGATGATACCAGTGATGAAGACATCGAAGCCGCCGCTAAACAGGCCAATGCCCATGAATTCATCATGAAACTACCAAAGGTAAAAGAGTACTAAAAGTACTAAAAGTCTTCGAAGATTTTGACTTGGGTACCTACTAACCGCCATTGTATTTTTTCCAAAACGGTGCTACGCATAAATGCTATGTATAGATAGATAGCTGATATCAATACACATAACGTATTGTGATAAAATGCCCTATGGTGTACGATATTCAAAATAATAATTATAAAAATTGACGGTACAGGTGGCCCACGAGTAAGTAGATGTTAAATAAAAATTTGCTGAAATATTCTTTTACAGCCATATTCCAAGTAAAGCGTCAAAGCATAACGAGCTTGGAATAAGTAAACAGTTATTGAAGTGAAATGAGTCTATCATGTACCTTATCGTATAAATCGATATTTGATATTGGAAATTTATCCTTTCCATTACCGTAATGAAAAACATTAAGTAGGTAGCAAGAAAAATAAAAAACGGTAGAGTAAGCTCCCGTGTTTTTGATTTTTAGGATCTTAAATTATTGTACCTAACTCTTTTCCACTACAATTTTTTGTTTATTTGTGGCAACAAACAGTCATACATGAAATAGTAGTTATTTACAATATTACTCTTAAAATAGACACATATAGCGTGGTTTTTTTAATGGGACAGTGTGGGGAAATCCGAAACCATAGAAGATACAAAGAAACTGTCTTAGGAACTATTAAGTCTTTTCTTGTAAAAACAATTGGGCATAGTAATTTTTTTAATCAAGCGTGTGTTGTCCATAAAAATTAATAAAATTAGTCAAATTTCTTTTAGTGCTTATCGACTTGCGTTTCATGTAAGGATCATTTCATTGTATGGGACAAAAAAGAAGAAAAAGCAGAAGTTGGTCAAATTTAATAAAATGTTTTTCACACAAAATGAATAAAACTGACTATAATTTAGTAAATGATGGGGGACTCATAGTGGACGTTTGCGAAAATAGCGCGGGAAGGACTTATTTAAAATACCTACTCACCTACTTACCAGTAAATTACTACCAAAGAATAATTTAAAATATCTCCGAATGTACGAGGAAAATACCTCTCTGATGTTATGTAGATTAAACTAAAAATTTTCAGTCAGTTTACAGTTAACTATAAGGTAGTTGATTCAAAAACAAAGTTTATAAGCATTATAACCCCTTTTGAAAGAGTTCGTCCAGGGAAGTACTCCCACTTTACCTATTTCTGCCGTCAAGCAGTAATGTGAGCATTACTGCTTTCTGATTGGGAAGGGTAAGGAAGCTAGTGAAATTACAGGCACATAGGACTTGTCAACTTATGTCTCAGGATGACGAGCGCAGTGGCAGTGCCCCTAAGATCTTTACTATTTAAAGCTCTGGTGGCACTGCAACTGTTGTGGACAGGCGTGTCGTTTACCACCAGGCGCACGACTTGTTCGCCGCATTACTTGGTATTATTGAAAAAAATCTTCACAACTTTTGTTGTGAATAAATACCCAAAAGCTATTCAGTTAAATATAGTACATATTATTTAACACAGGGCTACGATACGTTAGTGGGTGAACGAGGTGCATCACTATCAGGTGGTCAAAAGCAACGAGTTGCAATTGCAAGAGCACTAGTGCGCAACCCTCGAATTCTATTACTTGACGAAGCTACAAGCGCCCTCGACACTTCTTCGGAGGCTAAAGTACAGAAGGCCCTTGACAAGGTACCATTTAAATATAACAATTGTTAATTAAATTGTGTAAGAATAATAGTTGTTAAATGTAGAAGTCGAAGAACTCTTAACTATTGAAGTAATATACTTGTATGTGTTAAATATAATAATTTATTATTGGACATAAATTTTCGTATGCGTCTGTAAGAGGTGCATCATAGCTGTGCTATATAAGACTGTACACCCTATCATAATAAATAATAAATAAGGCACATACTCAACATAGCCCCGCACAAGGGAAACCCTGTGTCGCGTGTGCCATGGACACACACATAGACAACCACAAATTACACCCAAACTCACGAGACAAATAATTGTAGGCCATACAACAATTTCTCCAGGCCCGGGAATCGAACCTGGGACCTCTGCGTGGCAGGCCGGCATGGTAACCGTTCGGCCACAGACGCAGTTCAAATCATGTTATGACCTATGATGACGAATTTAAATATATTGATTGATTGATAATATACATATAATAATTTGTTTTCACACTACACAGACTTAAAATTGTCTGTATATATTGCAAAGATTATGTAAGTATTTATTCGATATAAGAGTACGTAGGTACACACTGCAATAACACGATATACACATAATTAGTATTCACGTAGTTTTATTTTCGCTTCTATGTAACCTATTGTTTAAATGTTGTTACGCTGTTTTTTGTGTTATTATCTGTTTTTATTTGTATTAGTCTTTTTGGGCCTTTTTTTATAATATGGCGTTGCAATAAATGGTTCCCATTCTATTCTAATTATGAATCAATTACTAATAGCAATATTAACTATACATTACTGTTTTCAGGCTCAAGAGGGTCGAACAACAGTTGTCGTAGCACACAGATTAACAACTATAAGAAATGTTGACGTAATTTACGTATTCAAAAACGGGATAGTAATTGAAAGCGGTAACCACGAAGAACTTATAAAACTAAAAGGACATTACTACGATATGGTGATGATGCAGACATTCCCAGAACCTGGACAAATGAAAGGTACCTAAACAGAAACAGCTAATTTTGATACCTACTAGTAATGAATTATATAAAGGGCGTACTCTATAACAACTTATTTATTTAGGTGAAGAGAAAGCTGTGACACGCCAAATATCTGTAAGAAGCGAAACGGACGATGATGATGATGATGATGATGAAATGTTAGACTCCACACATCAGGCAAGTAAATATACTTTGACACAACTACCTAGATATTCGTACGTTATTTAAAATTTTCTATTCCCGTAGATCAAAAATGATATTGAAGACATTGAAACCGATGTTTCGTTCTGGCGTGTTCTACAACTAAATAGGCCCGAATGGAAATCAATCACAGCTGCCAGTATCTGTTCAATCTTGAGCGGTGTGGCTATGCCATTACTCGCTGTCATTCTAGGCGACTTTATTGGAGTAAGTCACACATTCAAATGTTTTGCTATAGTGTAACCGTTGACCTACACTAGTGCAACCTAATTTTAAACTGAAATTGAAAGCGTGATGACTGAAGTGCAAAGTATTAAATTGTTTACAGGTTTTTCAAAATCCAGATGAAGAAGAGCGGTTAGCTGCAGTTCGAAGGTTTGCACTAATATTTGTAGGTATCGGTGTACTCTCAGGAGTGGCTAATTTTATAACGGTGTCAATGTATGGCTTAGCGGGAGAACATTTGACCGCACGTCTCCGAAGCCTTTTGTTCCAGAAATTACTTCAGCAAGAGATAGCATTTTATGACAATAAAGACAATGCTACTGGAGCTCTGTGCGCTAAACTCTCAGGAGAAACAGCAGCAGTCCAAGGGGTAAGTAATCAAATACCGTTATGTGGGTAATGTCTATGTTCTTTAATTACAAAGTACTAAAATGTAATTTATTTTAGGCAACTGGGCAAAGAATAGGAACAGTCTTACAGGCTGTGGCGACCTTTTCTTTTGCGCTAGGTCTTGCTCTATATTATGAATGGAGAGTCGGTCTTGTGGCACTAACTTTCGTTCCCCTCTTAAGCGCTATTTTGTACAAGGAAGGAAGGATGGTTAGTGCTGAATCTTTCGGTGCTGCGAAAACTATGCAAGCCAGTTCTAAGGTAGTTACTCAGTTTTTGTATAATAACAATTACGTACTCAAGTGTGTGAGCAAATGAACACATTTTGTATTTTTTATAGATTGCAGTTGAAGCTGTAGCTAATGTGCGTACAGTAGCTTCGTTGGGGCGTGAGCCCCAATTTATTAACGACTATGCTATACAACTGCTACCGGCTCTTCAGCTCGCTAAACGATCAGCTCACTGGCGTGGTCTCGTCTTCGGCCTTTCACGAGGTCTCTTCAACTTCGTTTATGCTGCGACGTTTTATTATGGCGGCACGCTTATTGTTTACAAAGATGTCCCTTACGATCTTATTCTAAAGTAAGTTCAATTATAATTGTTTTTCTTAAAAGTTACACCATGTACGCAGAAGAAGATTAAACATATTCATATACCTTCAGATCCGCGCAAGCTCTTCTGATGGGTTCGTCGGCAGCAGCCCAAGCGTTTGCATTTGCCCCAAACTTTCAGAAAGGAATTAAGGCTGCAGGTCGCATCATACTTCTGCTCAACCGTCAGTCCGAAATCACGGATCCGGTCAGGCCTGCAGTGGAAAACTTTGTAAGTCCTCAATTTTATTTATTTGTAATATTTTCAACGTTTTCGATAAAGATAATATTTTACTTGATTGTCATAACAGAAAGGTACTGGCGAAGCGAGTCTTCAAAATGTGCAATTCAGGTATCCCAACCGTGTTGCAATTAAAGTACTCAAGAATTTAGATCTCGAAATCGAACGCGGGAAAACTATTGCATTGGTTGGAGCCAGTGGCTGCGGAAAAAGTACTGTTATACAACTTCTTGAGAGATACTATGATCCTAATGACGGCATTGTTGTGAGTATCTTTTTTGAATCGGTTTATTAAGCAGCCAAGGGTGACTTAAATTATTAATCAATCGAAATTTCTTAGGCACAAGATGGTGTTCCCCTTCCTATGCTACGCCTAGCAGACGCGCGAAGTGCCATCGGATTTGTGCAACAAGAACCAATACTGTTCGACCGAACTATTGGAGAAAACATTGCCTATGGAGACAACAGTCGAAATCCGGATATGGACGAAATTGTTGACGCAGCCAAAAAGGCTAATATCCATAATTTCATTGTATCGTTACCAATGGTAAATACAAGCGATTGAATCTTCGCAAGTATAATTTAACTCAAATTAATATTTAAACATAATCATATTGTTTTCTCAGGGCTATGACACTAATATTGGTGCAAAGGGCACTCAACTTTCTGGTGGACAGAAACAAAGAGTCGCTATAGCCAGAGCTCTCATACGCCGGCCAAAAATGTTGCTACTGGATGAGGCTACAAGTGCACTTGATACTGAGAGTGAAAAGGTATACTTTAGAGAATTAATATTTAAGTTCATGTAATATAATTTGGAAGGTTCTATCTATTTATCAATCGTTTGCTTAACAATGTAACTGTGTGACAAACAGTCATCAAATTGTACCTACCTGTAATTACGTTTTCCATCAGATCCAAGCATTGCAAGATGATAAGAGGAACCTAAACTATGCCAAGAATAAAATCCAAATTCTGCTTAAATTTTTAGGTTGTACAAGAAGCACTAGACAAAGCCAAATTGGGTCGAACCTGTGTGATGATTGCACATAGATTAAGCACCGTGCGTGATGCAGATACCATCTGTGTGATACATGATGGTCGAGTCGCCGAAAAAGGCACACATGCCGAACTCATTGACTTGAAAGGACTTTATTATAACCTAAATAGAAGAGGGTTTTCTTAAATTGAGAATGACAGGGTGGAAATTTTTAAAACGGGTCCCCATGAGCAGCTACCTTAACTGTCATAGCTACAGAAAATTAAAGACTATCTGACGGCATTCACAGATGAAGATTTTTTCATGCCATTTGATCCTATTTCTAATAAGATTCGAAATATCTATACTGGACCAACTGAAGTAAACGTACTAGAAATTGACAAAAATCGCAATAATTTTTACCATACATTTCGGTAGGGACATAATGATCCGCCATTCGTATTATACATATATTTCAACATAAGAACAAACACAAACAAAAATAACTATGGTAGTAAGTACTCGATTTGATTGCCGCCTTAACGAGCGCATTGATTTGCTATTTACCGCAAAGAGCAAGCAGCAAATTGTACTCGGCTTGATTCCACCGAAAATTGTTTCTAAGTGCATCTTTCAATTGTTGAACACCGTTATAATAAACTGAATGTTTTAGTACATAGTCCCAAAGAAAAAAAACAAGAAACGTCGGATCAGGACTATAAGGTGATCAAGTCTAAAATTTTTCACAGAAACGCATAAAAATAATACGAGATACATGAAACCAATTAAGTACCTATGTACATATAATAGGGGTTAAAGTATGAAATTGCCGATTTGTACTGAAAATCT